ATTGTTCTAATATTTATTTTGACACAAAATCGGACTTTTTCTGAAATGGCAAACCAATTTTTTTTCCATACTTTGATTCTACAACTCAGATTATGCCTAAATGCCAAGTTTTGTAAAAAATCGTGCTGGTAGTTTTTAAAAAATTATCTCCCAAAACTTTAGGTCCTCAATGTTAATTGAATTTGCTATATATTTGTTAAATCTTTTTTTTTTTTTTTTTTTAAACTTAGTTGATCCCTTCTTTCTTAGTTCTAAATTTAGGTTCAATCCAAATAAAACTCTCAGATATTTTATGATTTATTTTTAAAGTTTGTATTTTTTTAGTAATCTTTATAAATTTTCCAAAAACATTTTGCATTATAACCTATAAAGTTTTTGCCATTACTTTAAAATAGATGTATTTCTAAGCATACCTGCAAAAAAATAAAAGTTTTTTTTAATCATCCCGGTGCTGTTCTGTTGTCAGGACCAGATTCAGAAATGTATTTATGGATAAACTTATGTGTTCATGTATGCATGTATATATGTAACCACAAATACATATATGCACATACATGCACAGCAAGACTGTTTTAAAATATGCTGTTTTTCAATGTTTTGTGATTTGAATAAGAATGAAGTGCAGCCACCGGACTGAACCACCCAAAATGGAACTTTGCCCCCAGCCCACAAATTTTCAGCAGTTAAGCCTACTTTTACAAAAAAATTCATATAAAATCAGCATTTAAATATAATGACTTTAATTTTTGAAGTTACATACTTAATATACTAATTCTTAATATGTATTAATATATGAATATCACTATATTAGAAATAAATGGAACATGGGAAATACTAAAATTATAACAATACACATGACAACAAATACAGTACACGTAAAAACAAAATTACTAATACAAATAAATGTGTAATACAAAATGTAAAAGGAAATTAAGCAGCAATTATCTGTAGGTAATTAAATTCCAATTTAATAATTGTGCTATATGTGAAATAATTCAAAACATGGATCAACACACAGTACAATGATGGCTTTTTTTCGCCGAGCAAGTAAGATAAATCATGCATTGGGCATTTCTCCTTTTGTAATAAAGTTGTAAAGTTGCTTTTTAATTAGCCGAGAAAGGTCTATGTTAAGTTTTAAAATAAGCATAAAAAAGGGCAACTGGTTTGAGTTTTTCCATCATGGAAGTTTGGCGACATTTCACCCACTGTAGTCAGCTAGATGTGTTTTCTCACATTCTCTTAAAAAAATGAAAATACTGGCCTGAATGTACTTCTGCACATTCTAATAACGAAAAATGCAAAGAATAAAAACAAAGGCGACAAAAAAATGAAATCCCTAACGAAATAAAGAAACACTCCGGTCCCTTAGCCTTAAAAGGGTGATTCCCAGTGTATTTATACCAATAAATCTATCAAAACCAGAAGCACAGAACAGAAACTGATGCTCATACATGCAGGTCAAAAGCCACTTGGCTTAACCGATGTGAAAACCGTTATCATTTAGCACCATCTACTCGCATTTAAAAATTGGCACTGGGCTGGTAAGAGTGGAATCGACATTGGTCCAGAACAGGTTAATAAATAAAGTTAACACACAAAATGTTAATAATAAAAACCACAGAAAAAAGTTTGCAAGCCATCTTACTAAGAAAAGAGAGCACTGATATGATTTGAGAAAAGCGTGAAAAAAAATTATCCCAACACTTAACACTGCGTATTTAATTCTAAATGTATATTGCTTCTAAAATTTTTATGTTGAACTATGTATGGCGTAAGTGCAAAGAAAATCATTCGTTAAGCCAAAAGGAAATGGTGCAGGAGTAAATGCAACAGCAGGCTGGTGGACTGCGAACTCGGCAAGAGCTTAAAAAACCTTAAGAAATCTGTTTGAGCAATTGTTAAAATCTGAATTCTTTAAGATTATTAGCCCAAAGGAGCATTAGACCAGAAGGGCTATTAGTCTCGAAATGGCATTTTGCATTAAATCACTTAAATGTAATGTGTTGCTACAAACTATTATCGTCTTGTGGTGTTATATTTAAGGAAACTGGATAATGAAGAATCTGCATGAATGCATGTATGTTTCTTGCATTGTGAAAAAGCATTGGTACCTAGAGTCATCAAATTTTGAATAACATAGTCCTCCATCCGAACATGGCCACCTTGAAACCCGAATTTAGAATTTCAAATCTGTTTTTATTGACTGTTTCATATTTTGTAAGACTTTAACAAATTTTTGATTAAAAAAACTCAGCAATTTCAAAGCGAGCATTAGCAGCACTGTAGGGAACAAAACATATTTATCTCAAAAATTCTAAAGGTATGCTGTTTTTAAATATTTTTAGCCCAAAGTGTTCTTAGCCTAAATGCTCTAGAAGGGTATACGTGTCTATAAATGAAAAAACACCCATTTGGCCATAATATAAGATTTTATTTCTATTTTTATTTATTTATTTATTTATTTTGTTGTTGTTGTTGATTTTCTTGAAATGCTTTCGAACTGTTTTGGGAGGCTATCTATTGTTTGTCACAGTTTGTTGTGTGTTCATTAAGATTGAATGTGGAACAGATTTTTTAGCTTAGCTTAAGTGAAAATTAAAAGCAATGTTTTAATGAAGATAAAAAGAATTGTACAGGAATATTCCTGGTGGTGGTGTAATTAATTATGACAAAGCACACAATTTCTATCTGCCTAAGGGGAGGAATGCCTTTGTGGAGGACTTTCTAAGGGAAACTGGCTCGTGTACATGTTACACATGGAGAAAACCACGAAAACACCCATGCAGCCAGCCTGTTCACAGATTCGAAACTCAAAATATTCCTGGAGTGCTAGCTTGTTTGTACTAAAATGTAACCTAAAGAATTCCACCTTAAAATCAGGAGATCAAATTTTTTCTGTTAATTATAAACTATAGGTTAAGGAATTTTTCTGAGATAAATGAAAATTCTGCCTTCATTTTGTTTTCTTGATCTTTCCATTGCACAAATATATGTATCTACATATCTCAGTAATCTGTTATCGGAATCAGATTCAGAAGTGTATCTGTGTGTGTATGTATGTATAGATGGATGTGTTCATATATGGATACATTTATGTGCATGTGTGTACATATATACGTGCATACATACATACACACATGCATACGTGCATTTCTGAATTCAGTCCTGATAACAAATCCCATATCTCTTCCAAATTTTTTCTTTTGAAGAGTACCCATATCTCTTCCAAAAAAAAATTTTTTTTTTTTTGAAAAAGTATGCCACTTTGAGGTACATCAAAGAAACAGTCCTGAAGGAAATAATAATAAAGAGAGGGAACTTGATTGCACCATTCATTCTAGTTCTAGCTGACAGTGGAGACAGGTCGTCTGCAAAAACTCCTTCTTTTTTTTTTTTTTTTTTTTTTACTAAATCTTAAATGTAGTTTTAGCATGTTAAGGTGGAATATATTTTTCATTTTAATTATGTGTGCTTTTAGATTTTTCAACATGGTTGAGCAATTTTTTTTTAACTGTGGGACAGCTTAAAAATTTATGTATTTTATGTCTTCTGCATATTATTTCAGTTATCTTTTTGTTTATTGTAACACAGGCAGGCAAAATAAAATTAGTCTTGGAATCATATAAGTAATATATGAAAGTAAAATTTAACTTGAACTAACCACTTGTGTGGCTAGCTGCTTAAAGTAGTTTTTATAATATATATATTATAATTGTTTCATAAGAAATTAATAATAAAGTTAAATTAAAATGAAATAATTCTCTTGCGCCATTGCTGCAAGGAATGAAATTTGAATTTAACAAATATTCTCTCATTCATATAAAGCTAATTTAAATTTTAATTATGAAAATTTAATTGTGTACAAATAAAAGATTAGTTATTGCTGTGAACTAATTTTCAATATCATTCAAATTCAGAAAGCATATGTAAATTAAGTGCAAGTACCTAAAAACATGAAAAAATTTTAATAATCGAAATAATTAATCCTAAAAATTTTAAAGAATTTTTTAAGACTAAATTAATTTGCATAAAGTGAACAATTGTTGTTATATATATATATAATGATATTAAGTCCAGTAATGTAATTTCATGAGTCCAGCTAGCAGTTAATAACAATTGAAATAAATATACATTTATTGCTTTTAAGTTGCTTAATTATAACAGAATTAATTACATAAATTAATAACAGAATAAATTTGAAAGAAAAATTAAATATTATCATATGTTTTGCTGAACGACAACACAGTGTTCCATGGAAGTAAAAAATATTTTAATTTGGGCAGTGGCAACACATTTCTTTTAAATTGCTGAGTTTGTTGGCAAATTTATACATTGTGTGTTGCTTTGAGGAGCAATACACAATATATTATTGGGTCTTTTGATTAAATTTTTGAAACATAAATATCTTATACTTCATGAAGTGGCCACACAAAATTTTTATATTATTGAGTTTTTATCAAAAGTTCCTTCAGTTCACAAAAAATATTAAATGAATTGAAAAAATAATAATTCAACTTTAAAGTGCACTTATTTGTGTGGACGACTGTATGTTTGCAGAATTCGGTGGCTAAGCTGTCATTTTTCCTCAGCATGATTTAATTCAAAAGACCAATAGATATGTTGCATTTTGCTGAATGACAACACACTTCTTTTATATTGCTGAGTTTTTTGATTAAATCTGTAAGAATTATCTTACACTCTGCAGAGTGACAACTCAAAGCTTTCAAATTGTTGAGTTTTCAATCAAAAGTTCAATAAATGCAAAATAAATATTTAAAAAAATCTAAAATTTGAGTTTCGAGGGGCACATGTTCCAGTGGAGGACTACATGTCATCAAAATTTGATGGCTCTAGGGGTTGCAAGAAACATACATATTTAAATACATACATACATATCGATTCTTTATCATTTAATGCTAAAATTATTTTTGATATGTTAGTTTCTGACTGTTCTTATTGATTTGAAGAAAATATGTTTAATCTGAAATTTTTTCTAGCATTCGCTATAACTACAGACTGAGAATAAAGCCTAATACTCCTAATATCACTTATTACATGTACCTGTTTGGTGCTGTCCTAGGCGTGTGTTTCTTTGTAATGCTGCTATTCATGATGTGCTTGGTAATTTATTTTTATTTTTCTTTCTTTATAGATTTAAATTATATATCAAGACTTTTCCTGTAATATGAAAGAAAATTTTATCAAAAAGAGAATAAGAATATTAATATAAACTTTGATATGATACTTTAAATATGAAAATAAAACACAAAATTGATTATGGAAATTGTGTTGGTAATTTAAAATAATACTTCAAAGCTGAAAAAAAGAAATTAGTGCATCAAATAAAAATTTTATTTTAAACATCAAAATTAAAAAAGGAAGAATAATAATTAAGTTAGAGATGGAACAAATTTTATATTTTTTGTGAATATGAATCCTAAAAGGTTTTCATACTCTTCCATATAACAAGAAGGAGGAATTTACTTAAAACAGTACAAAATCTAAGATCTGGATTCATTAGGACTTCTGCGATTCCAGATTTTAGATTGTCCACACAAAGCTACACATCTGGGTACAAAGTCAGAAGCATCTGTACACCTTGTAGAGCATGTTGGCTGATGCGAATAGTGTGTGGGCAGGTGTTATTTTGCTAATAAAGGGCACTTTTTAAATTAGCATCGGCTAATACCTGCAAGACATCATCCACATATCTTTGGGCCGTCATAGTGCCCTGAATAAGAACTAGAGGTGACCTGGGACTGTACACAGTTGTCCCCCAAACCATGGTGCCGCGTTCTGGTGTGTTTCGTAATTTCTGCCAGATGCATTGTACCTTTCTCTACATAGACGCCACACTCGTACGTGGTGACTATCATTGAAAAACAGAAGCTTGATTCATCTGAGAACAAGACACTGTGCCATTGTCCACCGTGGGCGCGTCCAGGTGTGTGTGTCAGCTGAGATTTCCCTTATGGACCAGCCTGCCCTTCTCAGTCCAGTCACCATACTATAGATTTCATCATCCATTAGTTGATGGATTATTGGGGCATTGTCATCGTAATGACAAATTTCTGTGATATCATCTTCATTTATTACCACTTCTCCACATTTCTTCACAAATTTCATTAACTGGAAAATTTCACTTTTGGTTTGTGATATCCAGTAACCTTCAAATTCACGGCTCTTATCATAAAGCTTAGCTAGTATCCGCTATATTCACAATGTTCTGTAAAATTTGCTCATGCTTCTATTGTGTGCTAAAGAAGTTAAGACTGAAATAGTGCAGTTATTTAGTATACTTACATCTATTTCTTATATATGCTTAAGGCTTACCTTAGTCCCAATTAAATTTCCATATATATTTAAAGCTTATTTGAACAACAAATCAATTATTTTTAATTCTAACAATTGTAAATGTAGTCTTTTGGTCTATTAATGTCATTTCCAAAATCTGGTTTTTGCATATGGAAAAAAACTTCTTAAATTTCTCCTTGCCAACATACTCTACCAAGTTGGTGTCAAGGGTTATAAGTTACTTTTAGTGATGAACTTACTAAAATCTACTACTACTACTAAAATGGACTGTTACCACGTATTAAACTCTGATGAACTTTGGTAGAATATTTTGGTTTGAGATGTATACCAAGGAAAAAAGATGGCTACGGAGCGAAATTATTGATCTTACAGATTTATGTTAATGATTGTGTTTCTGCAGTGCAGAGGCGATTAATCTTATAAAATAGAATTAAGAATCAGAACCATGTACATGCTTGTTTATGAAAAAATGTGTGCTGCACATATGTGAGCTAAAGTGCATGTGTATGCTAAAGTGAGATCCTGCATTGCTAATTATTTCTCTCTTTTTTTAGCAAATTAAAAAAAAAAAAAAAAAGTTGCTGTTAGTTGCTGTTTTGGACTTCGATATAAATAATTCTTATTTATAGCAAAATCTCAAATGTGCATTTCATGAGGAGGGGAGAGAAATTAAGAATGCAGTTCTTACACTTTTTATTTATTAAAAAGATGCTAATGAAATGTTGCAAATTAAGTACATAATTGAAACTATTAAAACTTGAGATTAATTTTCTCGATATATTTTTGAAATAAATGTCCAAACATTTTGCATGTTTGTACATATATTTATAGTAGAACAATTGGAGAAGAGACAGTATTATTTTAAGAATTAGTGCAAATAAATATCAAAGACTAATAGTTAAATTCTTTTATAGAAGATTGATTAAGAGTTACTTTCAGGGCCACCACAAAACAAAACTTGTGATCCAGCTGCATCCCCCCCAAAAAAAGTACACCAGTCTTAGTTCTCTCATCATAATAAATGCTTGTAATGAGTGTCAGTAATATTAATATTTTAAAAGTTTGATTTTAATCATTTTTAGGTTAGGATCCAAAAAATTCAAATAAAGAGAAAAGTGCCATGATTCAGATTTTTCAAACCTGATTCCTTCCCCCCAAGATTCTTCAGGTTTGAGGATTTGATTGTCCCATACCTGCTTTAAACTAATGAAAAAAGAGCATAAATCACATCAAAATAAGATTGTACAGTCATTTTGTATATCATGTAATGAATGAGTTTTTAACTTATCATAAGCATGTTTTGGAAATTTTCTTTGCTGTTCAAGTAATGTAATTAGTTATATAAAGAAATTCGAAAATTATTATAGAGAGAATATTAGGGAGTTATTGATGTGCTTGATTTTTAAAATAATTAAAAAATTATATCAAAAGTTAAATATGTATTTTGTATTTTATTATTGTTATTACTTTTATTATAGCTTATAAAATGTATACAAGAAAGGAGAAGAAGTAGACGTAATAGGTTGTCAAGTAGACAAATCAAACAAATACCAACTGCAAAATTTTCTAAAGGTATAATTCTGTATATTTTTATCATTCTTTATTTCATTTTATCTTAGAACACAATCTGCTTAATATTTACTTATGCTGTAGTTAGTTACATAGTTTGCTTAAAAAATATATAACACCACTTCTAAAGGCAAAATCTAAAGGCAAAACATCAAAAGTTCAAATCAAAAAATCAAAAATATATAACACCACTTCTAAAGGCAAAACATCAAAAGTTCTATTGATAAATGCATTATTGCATTTATCAATAGAACTTTTGATGTTTTGATAATTTATAAGTAATAAATATTAACAGTATATCCTCAATTTAAGGAATTAAATTCAGTTAAATTGGGACTACCATTCAGATAGTGTGCATTCCACTTGCATACATTTTATTAATTTGCATCTTTTTCAAACATTAATAAATTATGGCCTTTATTTATTTCTGAATTTGCAGTATCTACTGTTAATTTTGTCCTTTTAAAGGTAAATACAAACTTAAATGAAATTAAGCAATTTGATTGAGAGACTAAAAGTGGTGTATTTGATAATGTATGTGACATTTTTGCATTTAAAGCAAACTATTTTGGGAAATCTGCCAAAGTAATTTCCCCCTGATTAAAATGTGATATTATTGTAATTTCTTTTTTAAATAATAACATTGTCTTTATGTCATATATAATTTTGTACTTTTTCTGAGTTAATTGTATTGATTTTAAGTAAAAGCAGTACTTAGGTAATGTATATTTCCACATATAAGCCAAACATTTTTGGAACTTTTTCTAAAGCTAAGTTATGGGAGTCTGCTTTTATACAGATCCGCTAATCTTGTAAAAAACATTCTTCCATTTTTATTTTTCCATTAGTTATGTACAAGTGATAAATCACTAAGTATAGCACATTTTATTTCTTTAAGCTTATGAAAAAATTAATTTTAAATAAAATGAGTTATTTATTTTAGGAAAATGAATTGTTTTCTTTCCAAATTGTTTACATTGCTTGGTTGTGTTATCACCAAAACAAAATATCTGATGATGGTGAAATTTATGCCCGGCTAACAGAAAAGTACCAAAACATCTACCAGAAATAATAGTAGAAAACCATAAATAATGAACACATACAAGTTGCAGTGGGAAAGAAAAATTATTTTAATCTTTTAACTTATTTTTTAGGTTTTTTAAATGCAACCTTTATTTAAAAAAAAAAAGAAAAAAAAAAAAAAAAAGTGTAAATCTTTCAAAGTCTGTGTCAAAATTGGAGTTCCTGAATAGTTCATAAAATTCATTTTAACTCATTGGGATATTTGGATGCATATCATCATCCTTTCAGTACTTCCCATACTATAATTTATGTCCTCTTATGCACAAAATCATCCTCACTGCTATCTATACAGTTACTGATGCAGCACTTTTTAAAAGCTCAAACTATCACTTCAGATGGAATCGCCAACCAGGTGTCTTTTACGCATTATGTAATTATTACTAAATTCCTTTATTTTTAATTTCCATTTTTGGCCACATATTTATAGCTTTGTCTTCTGTTGCTGCACACTCCATTAAGCAAATATTTAGTGGTTGGAACATAGATATCAATTCTTCTAGTATTGCTGCCATTTTTGTTTTCGTTTCACAATACTCTTCTTTCACTTTATCTGTGAGATGAGCTTTGAATGAGTCCCAAAGGAGCATGTATCGTTTATTAAATACAGTGCCTTTTTCTTCAGCTCATGTTCTTTCCAGCTATTCCAAAGATCCATACTCAGCCATCCAAACTTTTTATGGGCATAAAACTTCACTTGGAAATTTTGCACCCTTAGACAGAGTCTTTCATTTCAAAATAATTGTAGAAGTAAATGGTTTCATCTACTAGACAATACAAAACGACCATTAAATCGGCATTTTTCATGATCTATTGCCTTTTCGAAAATGATCGTAAAACCTTTAATATCAACAATGTCATTTGATGGCATAATCAAATAACACTAGACTTTTGTCCATATTGCTGATTTAATCCACCTTGAAATCATGTTCAGGTTTCAAATGCAGTCATTTAATTTTCGAAGGAAAATGGAAATAATGCTGCAACAAGGGTGTTTAGTGTTGGCAAAAGCCCCATATGTGAGTGAAAGAAAAAGAAGAGCACAATAATTACTATGCTTTACATAAAGCAGATTATCTGGTAATGAAAACTTTTGAGTTCATTAGGAGTGTCATTTCTTAAGTAGTATTTAGGTACCTGTAGAAATCTAATTTCTGTATACTCTTCTTTTCTTTATTTTTAAATGCACCATTTTTGTATCCTATGTATAATGCACACCTGTATATTTCGATTTTATTTTTCATATTAAAAGTATGTGTTATATGCCTGAATATAGGGTACTCATTTCTTGTAAGAATTCTTTCCTTCACAGCTCAGAGTATTAGAATCCTTAAGCACTGTTGTTAAAAGACTGTTGCTTTACGTGATCTTTTATTTTTTCTCTTTTAATGACTTTAGAAAATAGTATATTTTTTCAAATTACAATACAAGCAAAGTTAATGTGAGTTTGCAGTTAAAATAATCATTTCTTATTTTAAGTTAGGTTTATAATAGAATTATAGTAGCAGAGTTGCCAGCTCTCCCAGTTTAGATGATAGACTTCCATTTTCTGACTTTACTCCTGGCAATGTGATTTATAACACATTTCTCCTGACTTTCTCTTATTGTTAAAATTTCTCACAATTCTTATGTTCCTTGGCTTAATACTTCATTATTTACACACAAAAAGGGATTTTGGGCTTCTAAAAGCACTTGATTTTCTTATAGATTACATAAAGAAAACCAAAGTCATCAGTGAGAAATTGTAGTGCACTTGTGCTTTGTGAGTGAAAGCATATGTGTTCGAAAACATCTCGTTCTACTTCTCCAATGAGCATCAAACACCACTGTATGTCATCTGACATATATTAGCCAATGAGCACAAAGCAGGATTGAGGTTGTTATTTCATTTATCTTGTCGCTGAGTGGTGTGAGTGCCATGTGCTTTCAAAAATTGGTTTAAGAAATTACAATCTTTTGTCATATCTACAAAAAAAGGTAAAATACTCATGTACTTTTCAAAAATCATACACAGATGACTTTCTTTCTACTATTTCTTTAAGAAAATGTAATGCATTTGTGATATGTGCCATTTATCATCACTGCAATTTTCAGTTTCTCAGGTGGAAGGGCCGGTGTTCTCAAACATGTGCCTACACAAAAACAGCATAATGTATTGAAAAAATAACCAAAAAGTTATTAATGCAGCATGCCAATTCTTTGCCTACTAGAGCACAACCTACCACTGAATGTATTGGATCATGCTGCAGCTTTATTTAGAAACATGTTTACCTTTAGCGAAATCAGTAAGAAATACTCAAGTGCAAGGACAAAAATGGCTGCAGTTATTAAAGAAATGGGTGTAAAAAAATAAATCTTCAGCTATTGATTGCATTAAAATAGATGAAAGCAATAATACCAATGCAAAACTGTAATTTTTTTTTTTTTTTTTTTTTTTTTTTTAATTTAGAGTCTTCAGAAATTGTTTGCACTTTAGAAGGAGATTTGATAGGCTTTAATAAAGCTGAGCTAATTATTAAAACTTTAAAAGAGAATGCAATTCCTCTGGATAATTCTTAGCACTTGGTGCCAACAATGCACCAATAATTTTCTTGAAGACTCTTGTTGCAGGCATCTTAAAAAAAGGAAAATTCACATTTGCAGATTACGAGGTGCACTTGTTGTTTCTTAAATTTAGCAGCTGAAAAAGATGCAGCTTCTTTAACCAGTAAGTGGGATGAACACATTGTTGATATTTATTATTATCTTGAAAAGAGTTATAAAAAGAAAGAATAAAAAGAAAGAAAAATTTTAAACAATTCCAACAGCTGCATAATACTGAAATAAAAAGAATTTTGAAATATTCATGTACATGCTGGCTATCTTTGAGGAAATATTTATCTAGAATCCTCGACCAGTGGAACTTCTTGCATATTTTAAGAAGTAAATAGAGGTGTAGTTACTATTTCCACTGTTAAAAATAGGTGTGAGAAAAATAATTTCTGCACCTGTGAGCAATTTAATTGGCAGTTCTCAAAATAATACTACAAAATTTAAAGCTGATGCAAATTTTTCTCAAATAATGAATATTTATGTTTTTGTCCTCGGACCTTAACAATGCTTTTTTGCTTTTTTGTATGCTCCATTTTGTTATCATTTGATGTTCTTAACATAGTTCTGCAAAGCAGAATTCCATTAATTCATGTTTGCTATCAATGATTTATGAACTGTTTGACACTTAAATGCACGAATTTTTATTTTTAAAGTTAAAAATACATTAGAATTGATATTAAATAAAAAGATAAAAATGCTAAAAAATATAAACTTAGTTTTTATTCCAATTTTTGAAAAACTATTATTAACTTTAAAAAATTAACTTTTACAAAAAAAAAAAAAAAAAAAGATACGGAAATGTATAATAGCAATTTTATGTAATAATATATACCTTATAAACTTGTTCAAACAATTTTAAAACTTTGAATACATCAAAATAACAACAAACACAAAATCAAAAATTTGTATACACAAATGATATCCACACCCTACACATCAACTTACGTTAATGACCGTTGCACTGTTAGTGATACCAGCACATTGAAACTCTCAAAACTATATGCAAATAAACAATATGTATCCAATTGGTTACACTATGTGGTAAGCTAAAATTTGTGTTTTGATTTGATTTACATGACTAAATATGAGTATGTTGCCAAATGGCAACTATGTGCATTTAAGAGTTAAAGACATTTTATCAAAGTTTTTAAAACCATTCTTTGTTTTGTCTTCTAATTCTATATGTAATGTGATTTATAATAAATTGTAAATCAGAAGAAAGAGGAAGATATGATAATAGAAGTGCAAGTAACAAAGTAGTGAAAGAACGTTCAGAGGAAAGTAAAAATAAGCTTTATTTCCACATTAGATGTTACTTTTATCGATTATAT